TTTTTTTTTTTTTTTTTTTTTTTTTTTTTTTTTTAAAAAAAAAAAAGAAATAGTTATAATCCACTTAAAACCCATTAATTAAATTTCCTTTATTTGTTTTTTCTTCCATGAAAATATTTGTTATTATAAAAGTACTAGTAAAATTTTATCATCTGCAAAAATGATCTTTAAAATTAACGTTAAATATGTAAATATGTAAAAAAAAACCTTTTAATATAAAATATTACAGTTATTTTAGTTATTTTATATTGTTTTTTACTATTTTTGCCATTAATCAGCATTATAAATAATCAAGAATTGATATTCTTTAACCGGCAAGACATTGTAGGAAAACAGTTATTTAGTGTTACACAAACAATTAATTGTACCGTAATTTTATTCGATCCTTAATCAACGTATATTATTCGCTTTCTCAAAAATTAAAGATCGACAATGTGCGTTCGCCTGAGACCAATTATAAAAAGAAATATCGGAAAATACCGTTCTGCCGAATTTCCGAATATTTGAAATTTCGGCGAAATTTTAATATTGTTTATTGTATAAATTGTATTTGTTAGTATGTATCGTTTAGAACGTAATTCTTTGTCATGATTATATCTGACATTTATTTAAAATACAAATGACAAAATTTTATTTGCTCATCAATTTTTTCTTTTATCCGTAAATTATTGTAGTTACACTAATAGATTAACAGATATGTTATTAAAACCGCCACGAATATATTATTTTTTCATAGGCTCATTACTAAATTAATTTAATTGAATTGATAAAAAAAAAAAAAACTTCAATCTTACAAATTATTTGTGTATAAAGCATTATGAAGTATATATGCTTTATAGCACATGCATCTTGAATATTGATTTTCTTTCCAACTTTATTTAATAAAGTTTGACTTGTGTATTTAGTTTTTTTTTTTTTTAAAATAAAAAAATTTTTTTTTTCTTTTCATTTCGGTCAGCATAACTGTATATCACGTGGATGTTCGTACTCTAATCATGTGACATAAGAGTTGCGTCATGAATCTTATTTAATTTTTGTCCTCATATATATGAAAACATAGAAATGTATATATTTTTTAAACCAAGAAATTTATTTTTTTTATCACTATTTCTATCCTAGGGTTCCATCCGAGGATAATCATATTTAAACAATTACACGAACATTTAATTAATAATATATATTTATTGTATAAAATGCTCTGATTTCATTTGACAAGCTTAGATTGTGCATGTAAGTGGCACAATCTGTCAATGAAATCGAAAACAGTAGAGTAATGCCTGAAGACCTATACAATAAGGCCTATTTAATAATTTTAATGGTTTGGTTTTATTGTACGAAAATTTAATTATATTATTGTATTTGTAATGATTTATATGTAATGAAATGACATTCAGATTAAATATTATCCGACAGATGAACGACTAAAGTTACACCTAAATTCGATTAATAGAACGTCTAAAACGTTATATAAAATAAATGTATAATAATTTTTATTTTAAAATATACTAGAACTTTCACACTTAAAATAAGAGAATAATAAATTTTTAATTTGAAACTTAAATTATATTTAAATTACAGTTTGAAGCATAATTTAAATTTAAGTGTATTTTTTAAGATATTCAACTCACTGCGTCCCTGCGTTGTTCCTCCACAAACATCCCTTGCATTCTGATTTACCTTACCTCCTTGCGAGGTCACGTGCATGGTCACGAAACTGTCGTTTTTGATGTTGTTATAACTGGGACGCATTTATTTCATCGAAAATCGCATCACCAACAATCAATTTATCGACAGAGATTTACCGACAAGATCATTTCACCTACAATTGTTTCACCGATGATTATTTCATCGACAGGGTTATTTCATTGACTTATTTGTATTTTTTATTAATTTTATTGCTCAGTACATTATTATGTATTCAATATATAGTGTAATATGTTATAATGCATGTCATAAAAATTTCCTGGCTTTATTAATAAGGAGATCGAATAAAAAAATAACGATTTAACTTTGATTCTTACACGATAAATAACTCATAATTATTAAGTGAGATTTTTTTTTTATTTAATACTAACGCTAATAATATAGATTATTAGAGCTTATCTTTAAATTACAGAAAAAAAATAAATTCGGTGAAATGATTTTAGGTGAAATGATTTTTCGGTGAAATGATTTTAGGTGAAATGATTTTTCGGTGAAATCATTTTCGGTGAAATCATTGTCGGTAAATTGACTCTCGGCGAAAAAATTGTTGGTGAAATATTTTTAAGTACATTCTTTTTTCATAGGGATATCTGGATCATTAAATTTATTATAAATATTAAATCTAACATAATTTTGCTGTGTTGCAAATTTTTTATTGTGAAATATTATTACATTAATAATTATGTAATCCTAATGTTGGTTACATGACGGCCATTGCATGTTATGGAGTACCTTACTGTCCTCCGCTACGCTTAGGACAATAATGTTTCGAATTTCATTTCAGATCCTAATATGAAACGCAAAACATTTCTTTCCAAAAATAAAATGAAAAGAGATTGATTATCCATCGGATGTCGTCTATTTTTCCTTCATAAAGCATCGAAATGGCGAACTTAATTATTGAAAATGTGTTGATGTTCGAGAATTACTCGTTAAAACTTGTACTCGTTTAATTAATTGATCTTAATCGTATAATCTTTTTCACTGAAAATCAAAGATAAAACTTTTGATGCTGCATCACCAACAAAAATTTTGCAATCACATGATCATAATAAAATATTCGTCACTTAGCGTCACATCTCTCCACTCTCAATTTTACTAGGAATTGGAATATGTGAAATCTTATTTGTCACATATTATCCGTCACTCTTAATGCCACTCTTAATGCCTGTCATAATGCCAGCAAAATATCACGTGAGTAATGATGCCGATAATTAGTTGTTACAAATGTTAAAAGTTATAATAAAGTTTAAATGACCTATCTTTAATTAAGTTAAAATTAACTTTTGTATACAATACACACTTGATAATAAATAATCTATTACTACTTATCCACTCCTCCAAAAATGATAATTCAATCTAATTTTTATTATTCATCTTTCTTCGATATCAAAATATCTTAATAATTTAAATCTACTACCTGTTCACCTAACTTTGGATCCCCATTCTAAATTTTTCTTTTTTTAAACTAAACTTGTAATTCTAAATTATCTAGTTCTATTAACGTTTCCAATTACTTTTTTTACAAACTATTTATATTTTCAGTTTCATCTATTATGTATTTATCTATAACATCCAACATTCTGAATGATCATCAAGAAGGAAAAAAATATCGAGGTTGCTGATGTTTATAATTTTGAAATAATTATTGCATGAAATAATTTCAGAATTACTTCCATATTATAAATTGAGCCATCATGACTTTTTAACCGTAAAAATTTGTGAAAGGCCAATCAAAATTTAGTATTAAGCACCTTAGGGCAGTGACATTTATTACGTAATATCTATTTACTATAAGCCCATACTCTCCCACCCCCATGTAATATGAAAAATCTTACATTACACTTATATGTTATATGACCTTTAAATACCCTCCCACCCCCTAAAATATTACGTAATAAATGTCACTGCCCTTAAACTATTCGATACTATGCGATGGATTTCATGGTTGCGCCGTGAATGAAATAATCTAGTAATGATAATTCATATGGTACTACTATTTGAATTATTTAAACTTTTTAAAAACAATAGTAAAATCTATTCCACTGATTAGTTTTATAATGTTTTATAATTCTATAATTCTTTATATTTTGATACAAAGCTTCTCTTTGCAATATTCAGTGTTCAATTATTTCAACTCTATCATATTCAACGCACTCTAAAACTCCTTTGTTATTTTTAGCTTTAAGTTGTGTTGTTTCAGTAAACTCAACCACTTGTCCAATTGTTTGAAACTTTGTTGAAAATATTTAGCATTGCATGACTGGCACCCGCTTATTAAGTAGCTTGCATACTATACATAAATCAATTAAACCATGATTTTTATAACTTTCCTTTAATTTTCCGTTTAATGGAACAAATTTTTATTAGATATAGACGTAGACTGGCGTGTTTAATGGAACAAATAGCATATCGGTTATGGTAAAAATGACTCGATATACGGAACACGTGATGATTTACAATAAAATATCATCCAGACTCCGATAAAAATTGGTCAAAGCGATTAATTACTAAATAGATAGTTTGTGGCATATTGGCTTCTCAAGAACGAGCCGCATAACTATGGCAGTTATAACATCATGAAATTTTTAGTTAGTTCGGTCCACGTAATTCCATATGGATTAGTGAAATATGTGGAATTCCATACATTCCCATATATCCTACGTGGATTCACGTAGATTTTACGCCGAAAATACCATGTGTTTCGTCACCGGGTATTTGGAAAATATTGAAACTATTCAGATTTCCATATAATTCCACAATATTTTTGATTTGGATTTCCGTGTAGATTTACGTGAAAAAAATTTCCTGATGAAAGCTCTTTTTGTGCAACTCACGAGGTGTGTGAGTTGTGTGATCTGAGGTAAGAATCGATAAAAAAAGTTATTTTCTGATGATTTTTTTCGGTTAATTAATTATTAATATGCCATATCCATTATATAATCAAATTTAGACTGGCTCCTTGATCTTGTTACTCGTTGTGATATCTCACAATTTCATAAACCAGAAAACAAATTTGCTAAATGTAGTTTATTAAGTTATAGAGCGTGTTATGATACAATAGAAAGTACTCTCCATATGACTGGGATAAGTACACTTCCGCTCTAACCGTTTAGTACTTGTCTGTAATTCAATAATAATTATTGTTATTGTTTACGTTTCATTTATATTTATTTATAATTAAATGAGAAAAGTAATAATAAATGATGGCTTTATTTAATGATTAAAATAAAAAAATATATATATATATATAAATAAATTATTAATTAGCTAATATATATATATATATATATATTATACATAATTATAAAAATTATAAAAGCTATAAAATTCCACAATTTTAACTCCTTTAGCTTTAATTTGATCCAATAATTTTAATTCCTCATCATTCAATTCTTTGCTCAATCCCGCCATACCAAAAATCTTCAAACTATTGTTACTTCTTTCAATATAATTTAAAATAATTTTAAGAAATTCTAATTCAATAATATGATTTAAATTAATTATTTCAAAATTATTATGACAATTCTTTAAAAATTCCCCAAACTTATTAAAATTACAAGAATAAATAGAAATTTTACTAATGTTAATAGGTATATTATTTGCTAAATTTATAAAAATTTCATTAACATTATTAGAATTATAATAAGAAATATTAATATTTAATATACTTATTCTTAAATTTTTTAAATAAGGTAACACTAATAAATTGAAACTGTTATCAATTCTTATTCTTAAAAAAACAAGATTTGGACAATACATTGATATATTTTCAACGACAGGTATTGTTAGATTTTCGATTAATATTAATCTTTGTAATGATTCACCTAAATATTTGATCATTAATGATGTGACGTCAACGTTCCAATTATTACGTTTAAATGATAGTTCCTTGAGCTTAAGTGAAGCAAAATTTAAAATTTCACATTGATCTAATAATATAGTACCTTTACAACTTTCAAACGTTAAATATTTTAAATTATATAAATTACTAAAACTTTTTAAACTAACAATATTGAAGTCACATTTTGTAAATTCAATATGAGCTAAAGAATGCTTTTGAAATTCCAAAGATAAAAGAATATCATTTAATAATGAATGACAATTCATTATCTTAAATATTTTAAGTTTGTTTTGCTTTTGAATAATTGTGCAAAGCTTTTCCATAGTGGTAGTGTTGATCAAATTATTGGATGTGCCATGTTGAAACAATGATCTTTGGGTTCGAGGAAGATTAATTATTAATTTTCTCAAATTTCTTGCTATATTACTTAAAAATTCTTGTTCGATTTCATTATTAATAAAAGTTCCATTTAAATGAAAAGTTAATGATAATGAATTTAATTTTGTTAAATTTGAAGTGAAATTTTTAATATTAAAGTTTTTAAAACTTTCTTTATAAAATAAGTGTAATAAAATATCTATTTGTTTAATGTTTCTACTTTGGCGTAAAATTGATTTATGAAATATTGGAATAATATCATCATATATTTTGTTTTGAGAAATTGATAAATCTGAACAATATCCTACAAAACATCTATTAATAACGGAATTTATTGTAAAATGATTATAATTTTCTAGATATTTTGGATATTCAAATAATGGTTTGTATTCTTTATCAAAATTAATATTATTAATCTGACTTGGTCCTAGTTGATTCTTTAATTGTAAAATTTCCGCTTTATTAAAGCAAAAAATTAAGGTCAAGATTATCGGATAATTTTTTTCTGTTATATTTACGAAAGGATTTGCATAAAGTAAAGGAATCGTTGATTTACACCAAAATCGATTAACTAGTAAACAATTAAATAAAGTCGAACGATCATTTTGAAGGTGTTGTAAAATGTAATAAATACAATCATCTGGTAAATAAGGTAAAGTCATCTTGAAAATTTATGAAAAGAAAAGAAAGTTTTCAAGAAGTATCGAAATAATTTAAGTTTTTTTATAAGCAATATGGTCGTACGTAATTTTTGTAATACTTAAGGATGATTGGCATCCCAAGGTATCTTTTGTAAAATTCTGTAACACTACCGTACACCTTTCTATTCTTCTATTTAGAAATACAAATCACGGATTGATCCGTATAAAACCTAATACAACACCCCAAGAACACCACCAAAAAATTTCGGTAACGTGACTTTGTATTACTAATCTAAAAATAGTAGATATATCGAGTTCTTACTTAAAATAAAGCCGCGTTTCTTGGGCGTATAAAATAAACTATCAAGTTTTGAATAAGAATTTTCCATTTAATACATTATAAAAATTATCTTTTTATTACTATTATTAAATTATATAAATAACACGAAGATTTATTGTTAAATTTCTAAAATAATAAATAATTTATTCACTTATTTTAATAAAAAAAAAACCAATAAATTTTATAAAGTGAAAAGGACTATAACTGATAAAAAATGTTTAAATCAAATGTTTTTTAATTAAGATAAATGTTCCCTCACTTATTTTTTTTCTTGTTTTCTAAGATAATGTTGTGATCATTTATTTTGTTACACAGGAGTACATACACGGCAGTCTGTACAACAACTACATTTTTTCACATATACCCTGCCTCAGTATTTTTACCCTTTTTTACTCTTGTCCTCACCCACCTCATTTTGAGCCAATAACATTTCGCAAAAAACAGTATAAAACCCGAAAATGTCAGTCACGTTACTCTGTCTTGTCAAAGGAAACACACTCGCGAACGCTTTCCCTGTCCATATAGATAGTGACCAGCTTGTTGGAGACCTCAAGGAGGCTATAAAAGATAAAATAGATGTTCCTGCTGGTTTCAAAGCGAAGGAACTCAAGTTATGGAATGTGTCGATCCCTGACGATCAGGACGATCTCTTGAGGAATCTCACTCTCAATGACGGGGACGAACTCCTTGCGACAAGAGAAATAGCGACTATTGGTCCGAGAAACCGCCTAAGAGACATATTCATGTCTTAGTCGAACGACTCGAACCACCTGTCTCGACCGTCACTTCGAGTGGCGAAGAGGAATTACTTGACCAAGTCGCTTCGTTGCAGGCATTACTCAACAAGTCCGTGCATGGTACGTATTTTTTCAGTGACGGCCCGTCACGAAAATTTGCCAAGAAATTTGGGCGACCTGAGGTCGCTGAAATCTTCAGGTTATGAAACCGTTTCCTCGGGAAACGATGTTTCACGTCAAATTACTTAACCTGGTTGTTGCATTGCAGTGTTCGACGTTGTCGTTAGTTCGAAGCGAACGAAGAGTTTCAAGTGGACAGTGAATATCGAACACGCGACCCTCGATGGCCTCAAAAACTCCATACGCGCTATGAATCAGACACCAGCACTCGAAAATGATGGAGCAGTACTTAACATGTTAAATGACAGTGGAAAATTCTCTCCTCGTGACGATCAAGACCTGCGTGAGATGCTTCAGGTGTTCGTGTCAAAAAGTAACTTCAAGTTCACTGTGTTAATAGAGACGCCATCGAAGCCCTTCAACGAGGACCTTTCCAAAAGTATGCGAACTCTACGGCCTTAGCGATGACCCGAATCCCAGCATTGACGTGTATCCCGTTTTTTCGTGCGGTAGTGCAGACACCAAGAATGAGAAATACAAAGAAGCGTTGCGTAAACTTTTTGACGAATTGGAGACGAGAGTTGCAACAACTCCTATCGACGTATCCTATGAGGCCACCAAAAATATCTACTTGTATACTTATCTCGTCTCTGCAACTTACCCGTTCAAGGATCAAGTCAAGGTCGTACCAGAGAAGCTGATCGAGGGAAAAAATGGGCGCGGGAATCTTGACTATAGTATTGAATCACGTACGACCGGGAGAATTATCGGTCTAGTTGAAGTCAAAAAAGATGGCTTTAAGCAGGGATTCGCACAAGCCACTGTACAGTTGGAATCGTCACTAGCTCGTAAGCGCAAAGCAAATGAAATTGGATGATGGACATGGGTTTGATAAAGTATGGGGGATCGTAACAGATGCGGAGAAATGGTACTTTATGGAATGTACGCAAGGCAGTGAAGGTAAATTATCATTTAGTTGTCGAAGCCTCTATTTGTTGCGTACGAAGATGCGATGAAAGACATGGCGGAAAGGTCCTTGGTCATATTATCATGGTTGTTGGAAGAGTCACAAAAGGCGGATTCAGCTGTTAACTTAGATAAAGAGAGGGATAGGTCAGGATAGAAAATTAGTCATATATCACGAGCAAAGTCCCGAGCCTTTGTATTATTTTACTTCGTACTTCTATCACCTGTATAATTGGATGCGTCCCAAATTTGTATTTATCTTTTATTTGTATTAATAAAAAATTTATTTATGACGTTCACGTCAAAAACACGCATACACGTAGCATGTTAAAATCACTAGCCCGATGTAGACAAAACATTTACTCGAAAATTTTATTAATTATACATATATTTTTATTACACTGCATATATACTAAATTGAGTTCCAAGGCTATCACGTGATGCATCACACAGTATTCTTACTAACTAGCCCTTTTTTTCCCTTTACTCCCTTCACTTTGATTTCCACTGGACCTTTTTGCAGGGATAGAAGCCGATGGCTCTTCAACAGTTGATAAATTCGAAACTCCTTCCTCAATTGTTGCGGTAGATGACGTTCTTGGTAAATTTGGTAAATTTCTAGAACCTCCAGAACTTAAATCAATTCCAAGAACGTATTGCTTAACATGATTTTTAATCCAACGTGGCAATCTCCGAGAAACGTCATCTTTAGAAGTAACAAAATTCTGCTTTTGGTAATTGCCACATAACTTTTCTGGCACAACAAAGTAAAAAGAGATTCATAAAGCAACTTCAGGCCAACCACCTTAATAGGATGATTTGTAGCGATAGTAATCTGAAAAAGCTTATCAGGTGCAACAATTGCATCAATTAAAAGGAGAAAGTTTTACTTTCTGGTTGATAGTATTTATCATTTTCAATCGATTCAACATTAGAAAATTTGAGTATCTCATCCTGCTTATTCAAAGTTTCAGTTAATAGATTGTCATTACTATCGGGTTCTAAGGAACGAACACGAAAAGGTCCTCCTTTTCGAAATATCCGGTGAACAATCTGCTCAAAATAGCAACCAAAGTACGCATTATTAATACTTTTTTCTCGTGCTATGCATGCTTCTACTTCTGCCTGTAATCGTCTTATTATTGAATCTTTGAGCCTCTCATATATAATTTCACCTACATAGTCAGACGCATATTTTATAATTGTTTCTGTATAGTATTCTTCAGCAATATAATTGATCTCGTCTTCATCTACAGTGTTTTCCTCATCTTTCAAATCATTATTATCCTCCGGAACGTTTTTCCATATATGAACAAGTATATGACTCACGCAATGTATTGGAAAATTTTCTCATCACAAGTGTCAACCGCTTGTGTAAGCTTACGTTGAATACTACTATTTAGAGCTTCCTTTAAAATATACCGAGGGATCCCTCCCCACTTTACATACAACTCACTAACCAATTTTTCATCAAGATTTTCGAAAAGATTTTGTCTACAATAATTAATTTCTTTCCAAGTCCATACTGGCATGATTAGTATGGTTACTGAGTCACCCTCACTCTTATCAAAGTCATGATAGTGACTCTTCATTGGTGAAGAAATAAGAATTGTCTTAGCAACAGAAGCATTATATGGTTTTTTCCCATCAACGATATACCAAGTATCTTTTTTATACAGGTAATTTCTTATAATTTTGTGATCTATAGCCTCGCTAAGATAGAAACCCTTACCCTCTTTAAAGAGGATAACACTACCTTTCATAGTATGGAGTTCGTATACAATCGTTTTATCTTTTGTCAGGAGATCATAAAGTAAGTAATAGCCGAAAAATGTTTTTCCGACTCCAGGATTACCCGAGATACGTAAATTTCTTATTTCAGGTTTCGAAACGATGTCGAGCAGGTCTTTGTAGCAATTACGAATAAACAGTCTTGATGGTTGATTATCTAGTCCAAAAAAATTGGTATCATAGGCCAACTTTAAAAGTTCACTTGTTTTTGCATCAAATTCCGTATCTTTCAAATCTTGTATAAACTTATAGAACTAGATCCTCAGTCATCTGGGAAGACGCTATATAATAAGAAGAAATAAGTTAAGTTATGACAGCGAAAAATCAGTATAAGTATCAAAAGCTAAGTCAAGCACCGTTCCGACTCACTTACCAGCAACAGGTCCTACGGTAGCAAATTCTACGACAACGCGAATGTGTTTTTTGGACGGGTTTGACGATAAGAAGCAGGAAAGAAAAGCACAAGATTAATTAAGTATTCGGTATTATTGGCGAATATGACAGAAAGCTTATGTTTGATAAAATCTGTGAGAGAACGTACCAGGCCTTAAGACTTTTCTCAAACAAGAAACCACCTCATCATCAGAACAACCAGAAATGAAGAGCTCTAATTCCTTTCTTTTATCTGAATTATTAACGAAGTAAGCGCGTAGGTCACTTTTTTCATCTGGTGTCAAATCGAGACCTGCGATTGCATCATAGACGATAGACATAATTACTTCTTGTTAAGACTTGCAGTTGTACACTTGTACAAGTCCGATTCTTGATAAAAGATGGACTATATATGAGAAATCGATTGTCGCACAGATTGATCCGCAATTGGCTGATTTGTAACATACGAAGTTTTAATTATTTCAGAATCAGGTGCTACTTTTAGGAATCGTATGATCAAATTGTTCGTTAAAATAATCTCGTAAAAGATGAATTAAATAACTAATAGTTACACTGCATATAAAATCGTTATAATTTGAAATAATGGAGTAGTGAAGCGATCTGTGAATAATGTTAATTATCCGGATCAAATTTATGTAAATATTCGTGAATAATTATTAATTTGACGGATATCCATGGATGCTTTACGGATTAATGAATAATCCCTCATGGATAATTGAGCAGACGTCTATTGTACTATATTTACTATATTTTAATATTTTAGAAAAATGACCAAAAATGATCACGCGTATCATTATCCTGCTCTTTATTATTATTTAAAGGTTTAATAAAGTATCATTAATATAAACTTTGATACATACTAATTAGTACTGGTTAAAGGTTTTCGTATATTAGTAGAAAGTTTTTTAGTTTTGTATCTTTTCGACGGTTGGTTAAACAGAAGTTACACGTTCTTGCAAGATTTTCTTTGATTTTTTCCGGACGTATTACTTTACAATTTCTACATATTAAAAAAAAATTGGCGTAAGGACAAAGGATAAAACCATGATTTTGATATTTGAATAATTATATTATGCATAATCTAACCAATAATCGGAGAAACTTGGAGGAGTTGCTATATGAGTTTCACCACAACATTTAATGAAAATTTTCATTATTATTATTATTATTATTATTTATTAAACATTCCAAATCTAGAATTATGTACACTAAAAAGGTTAGGAAGGTCACACTTTACGTTTCTAATTATTTTAATTGAATTTTTAGAATTTTTTTTTCTAATTATTTATTCATTCTTCAAGAAGCGTGTACTTAATAAAATTTTTTTAATTATTTATTTACGCAAATATATTCATTACATAATTTATCCTAAAATTAGTGCTACGATCCGTAATCCGGTCAATTCGGATTGATCGTTCATCCGAATTGAAATCGGATATACCTATCCGATTTTTTGACCGATTTTTAATTCTGACCAGCATTATAGTTAGCTTGGGCCAGTACTAAAAGTTTAGGCAGAGCTAACTCTCGTTATTGAAACTTCAATTCCGCCCAAAATTACAATTTCGGCCAGAATTAAGATTAGTTTGACGATCCGGATTGAATCCGGATGTGCCAATTCAATCCGGATGGTCTTTTAGAACTCGGATCTAGTGTTTAGATCCGGATAAAACCTCAAATATTTTAACGTGGGATTATGATTAAAAAAGGTTACAAATTTCGGCTTTGAGTGGACTATAATTTCGGCCAGAATTAAAATAATATTATTCCATAAATTTTTATTAATTTTGGTGGTCCCAACCTAAATTAACCGAGCCGGTATCCGGATAAAAACCGGATAAAACCGCTACGGATCGAAACTCTACTCGGATCGTACCTCTACCTAAAATTAACTACCCCAAGAACACCACCAAAAAATTTTCGGTAACGTGACTTGATGAGTTTTATTGGTCAGATTTATTTTGTACAACATTAGAAAAAATTTCGCGGCTTTTTTCAAGAAAAAAAATAAGCAAGGGAACATTTATCTTAAAAATACTTGTAGATTTCATAAAAAAAAATTAAAGAAACATTTAATTTAAACATTTCTTATCAGTTATAGTCCTTTTCACTTTATAAAATTTATTGATTTTTTTTTATTAAAATAAGTGAATAAATTATTTATTATTTTAGAAATTTAACAATAAATAATAAAAAGATAGTTTTTATAATGTAAGCTTCCAATAAAAATTTATTGGTATTGTGGCATTGGAAGGCTTAGAATTGGAAGTATTGGAAGATTTGAATCCTCCAATGCACATCACTGATATATACCGTATAATATAAAGAATAGTGTAACATACGCAAATTGGTTCAGTTCATTATACTTATGTCCCGTGCTATTTATACTTTTCTAATAACCTGACTACCCAACCCGGCTATCTGGCAACCCGACAATCAAATTTCTTAAGTCCCGTATATTTGAAATTTTGCTGTAAATAAAAGTTTTTTATCTAGATTAAATCATAGTTATTTAATCCAGATGACGGATTTCACTCAGATCGAAGCGGTTACATGTTGGTCGGAGATAAATTAGAGTTATGAATTATTACATAGGAGAAATAATCATTTGGGAAATTCCCAAAATAATATACGCATTTATCAATTATTTCCTTGTTAGGCATTAAACAATAATCCCACATTCCCAATATTGATATCCGGACTTTTCGCTGAAGTTCATCTCACTGAAACCCATTTTGTCGAAGCAATTTCGCCAAAGAATGTTTCACCGAAGTGCCATTTCGCTGAAATGGACATGGACATTTCTCCGAATGACCATTTTGCTGAAGGACATTTCGCTGAAGCAATTTCGCCAAAAGGATATTTTGCCGAAGATATGGAATTTATTAAATTTCCTTTTCTTTTTCAAGACAAACAGATTATTTACACACTGTAAGTCGCGTCTGTTTAATTTTTTTTTTTACTGTAATTAATTTATTCGCTCTGTAAAAAAAGTCGGTGATTAAGGAAATATGTTAATCACTAACATTTTTGGCGAAAGGTCTTTCGACGAAATGGAAGGTTCAGGAATAGGATTCGGCGAGATGTCTTCGATGAAACGCCAGTTCGCCGAAATATCCCTTCGGAGAAATGGACTTTGGTGAAATGTACTGTAACCCAATATTACGTGTAAAAAACATGTATTTTCAGTATTTTCAGGTAGAATAATCGTGCTAATGAACTTGTCAATCGTACTGACACTATCTTTCGATTACAAACTGTGGGATTTATGCTGAATTTTATTTTGAAATATTTTTGTAGGGATTGAGAACTGTGATAGTGGCGCATCAGCCTTCATCACCCTGGAGAGGAAAGGAGGAACAGTAGTAAGAAATCCTTATAAAATTACTTTTAAGAATTACCAGTTTTATTATAAAAATTATTATAATAAAAACTTGTTAATTTTACATGTATATAAAAAAAATAGAATATACATTGTTGCAGAATTTTTTTTTAAAAAAGAATTTAACGATTTAATTTTATGTGCTTAAAAAAAAAACAAAAACAAAAAAACAATTATTATTAACGTTCCATTTTATGTTTATTTAATAATAATTAATGAGAAAAGTAATAATAACTGATGGCAATATTTTGCTTTATTTAATGAATAAAATAAATAAATAAATCAAATCAACTCTTTAAATCCTTCCTTAGCTTACTAAATATTAATACTAAATATTACGACATATCATTACAAGTGCTATGAAAATCCATTATTTTTACTCCTTTAGCTTTAATTTGATTAAATAAATTTAATTCCTCATCATTCAAATTTTTATCCAATCTCGTCATACCAATAATCTTTAAACTATTGTTATTCCTTTCAATATAATTTAAAACAATTTTAAGAAATTCTAATTCAATGATTTGATTTAAATTAATTATTTCAAAATTACCATGACAATTTTCTAAAAATTCCTTAACCTTATTGGATTTACGAGAACAAATAGAAATTTTACTAATGTTAATAGGTATATTTTTTGCTAAACTTATAACAAATTCATTAATATTATTAGAACTATAATAAGGAATATTAATATTTAATATTCTTATCCTTAAATTTTTAAATAAAGGCAACACTAATAAATTAAAATGTGTACTATTACTAATTCTTATTTTTAAAAAAATAAGATTTGGGCAATACACTGATATTTTTTCAACGACAGGTATTGTTAGATTTTCGATTAATATTAATCTTTGTAATGATGCGCCTAAATATTTGATCATTAATGATGTGACGTCAACGTTCCAAATATTGCGTATAAATGATAATTCCTTGAGCTTAAATGAAGCAAAATTTAAAACTTCACATTGATCTAATAATATAATACCTTTACAACTTTCAAATGTTAAATATTTTAAATTATATAAATTACTAAAACTTTTTAAACTAACATTATTAAAGTCACATTTTGTAAATTCAATATGAGCTAAAGAATGCTTTTGAAATTCTAGAGATAAAAGAATATTATTTAATAAAGAATGGCAATTCATTATCTTAAGTATTTTAAGTTTGTTTTGCTTTTGAATAATTGTACGAAGCTTTTCCATAATAGTATTGATCAAGTTATTGGGGGCGATGTGTTGAAACAATGGTCTTAGAGTTTGAGGAAAATTAATTATTAATTTTCTCAAATTTGAACAAATACTTGCTATATTGCTTAAAAATTCTTGTTCAATTTCACTATTAACAAGGTAATATAAATAAAAATTTAACGATAATGAACTTAATCTTGTTAAATTTAAAGTGAAATTTTGAATATTAAAATTTTTAAAATTTTCACTATAAAATAAATATAAGAAAGTATCTAACTGTTTGATATTTCTACTTTGACGTAAAATTGAATGATGAAATATTGGAATAGTACAATATATTTTATTCCGAGAAATTAATGAACCTGAACATAATTTTAAAAAAAGTCTACGAATTACGGAATTTATTTCAAAATAATTATAATTTTCCAAATATTTTGGATATTCAAATAATGGTTTGTGCTCTTCATCGAAATTAATATTATTAACCTGGCTTAGACCAAGTTGTTTCTTCAATTGTAAAATTTCCGTTTTATTAAAGCAAAAAATTAAGGTCAAGATTATCGGATAATTTTTTTCAGTTATATTTTCGAAAGGATTTGCATAAAGCAAAGGAATAGTTGATTTACACCAAAATCTATTAACTAATAAACAATTAAATAATGTTGACCGATCATTTTGAAGGTATTGTAAAATATAATAAATACAATCGTCCGCTAGATAAGGCAACGTCATCTTAGAAATTTAGGAGGGAAAAGAAAGTTTTACGGAGTTATCGGAGTTAAGCTAGTTATATAAGCCCAGTCATATGGTTGTACATACTTTATACATTATTATAGGGCGCTGCTGATTGATTTATTGGGATAAAATATGGATAAATCTGGGATAGAATATAGGTTGAGGCTTATCCAAATTTTGTACTACGAATTTATAATTATTCGGGTGTGCGTAATCACATGTAATATTAAATTTTGGAACTAATTAATTTACTATGTTCGGAGTGTTATGGATTACAAATTTTAATAACAGATAATAATTGTAAAATTTATTTGTTTGGCGTAGCATAGGACTATCAATAGTACGTTATTACAAATTTGTATTTTCCTTCAAACATCATTTGCTTCGTCTTAATACGTACGTCATAACGAAATTATGCTTTTTACAACACATACTTCATATTTTAATCGTGATATTTTAGGAAAAATATTTATCATTAGTTTTTTTATAATATTGTTACAGATTAAAGAAAAATTTAACTTGTATTTTTTTAAATTCAGTGATATATTTATTATATTAATATGAATTTAAATAATATACCGCTTTGCGGAGAGATTTTGTAAAATATACCGGCGATTTAACCTAAATCTGCATTGTTTCTACGATTTAAAAATATATATACATATATTGCTTGTTTTATTTGGAATTCTGAGAAACATTTCATTATATTTGATTGGTAATGTAATTTATGCGGCATCATCCCTGTCTTGTGACAATCGATTATATATATATACCTCAGTAACCCAAAAAATTTTTATATATAATCCGTAACACCGATACATTATGGTATGGAAGAACTGAATACTCTGAGAACGGAACTTAATCATTTCCCTAAATAAATAAAAAATAAAATAAAAAATGCCTCGTTACAATCGTTACAATCGTTACTATCGTCACCATCGTCACCATCATCATCGCCACCATGATCATCCCGTACAGTGGAGGGACCCGACAAAACGCTTTACGCACATTCTTCACTAAAAATGTAAATAGTATAGTTGTTATAGTATCTTCCTAATTACAAAACGGATGATGCTAAACGGGATTATTTAATCTCTAATCTCTGCATCTGGTATGTTCTCACTGACGATGGCTGGTTTTTTTTCGCAAATATCTAATATCACCTTTATTAACCTGAAATTTTTGAACTACTATAACCTTTTTGTCGGACGTTTCCAAACATAGTTATACCTGCTTGCTAATCTTATGCTTCTTCATATCATAAAACCATCCAAAAAACACATTTGTGTTATCATAGAACAATCCAATGGTGGTAAGTGAGTCATAGTAAGATTAATCAACGCAAGTAAAACACGACTTCATTCTTCCAATTTCATTTTCAGTTCTCATAGAGAAACTCATAAATCTTTTGGACAAATAGTGTATTTATTTGGATAAAGTATTATAATTATTATATTTCACTCCACAAGAATTTTTTAGAACGTGTCAAGTAACACTGCTAGTGCCTAGTGCAGGTGCTTCAGCTTCACCGCTTACTTTCTTTACAGAGTTAGTGAAAGTTATAAAAGAAATACTTGAAAGAAACCTTGAAAGTTGTGAAAGAAACACGAAAATTATTAAAAATAAATTGGAAATATTGGTTTTATTGAGAATGTCAGAAATAGATATTAGTGACGACTTTGATACAGGTATTGGTTTATATATGTAAAATTCGCAATTTACTCTTATTAAACCTATATTTTGAACAATTCAGGCTCCATAACACGTACAAGATATTAAGTTTGAAAGAGCTGACCCAAAATATTTACTAGTCGCTCAGTCAACTTGGTAATTTTTCTAGTAGTGGACGGTTACTAATTATCTGCAAATTATCTCATACCAACTGTCAAAAAAGAAGTATCAAGATCGGTCTATTAATGACCTGATGTTAGAGTTTCCAAACTTTTGTTGTGATGGATATACACAATAATCCATACTTTGACGAATTTAAACTAGATTTAAGCATTTGGAGATGATGTCAGAGATGGAACTTGTATTTCTATGTTTGTGATACTTTTAGAGGTGAAAAAAGAAAAAGTCTACCTTTTACGCATTGCGCATATATCCTTTCAAATATGCGATATTTTATTGAACCCAAACAGCTACACCATTAAATGTAAAGTGGCCTAACTGACGAAGATAAAGGCATTACATGCATCAGCATTATCAGCCATTGCACTATGAATCAGCTGACTGGTCTTAGGAGCACCAAATTATATTTAACATCTAGTGAGTATACATCTATACATCTGAAGGAGTTTTTAGACCCAGGTTCATCAAGTTGTTTTGAAGTAATCTGATAAGCCTATTCTCTATTGTATAATTTTTAGAGTTATCGTGTGTAGTTAGATGGTAAACCATTACCTATTTACTTATTAAGATAAGCATGTGCTCCCTGTTCTTAGCCATAGTTTTAATGAAACATGCTTCAAGAATCAAGATGTTGAACACCCATACCATGAAGCAAAAATTCTACGATTCTATACATTTTTCATAATAATCACTTAATAATTATTTCCAAACAAATTGGAAATCAATTTCGGTCATATAGCTCATTCACTTATTGAAACATATTCATAATATGGAAGTTTTCATCAAGATGTGCGTCCTGAAAACATTTTATTAGACATTAATGATAATTAGAATTAATAGATGTGTTGTACTTGCTAGTAATAATTAATGTAATAAAATTATGATGTGTAAAATTAAATTGCCTTTATGATTAAACAAATTGCAATTGCAATGCATATATTATTTTTTATGTAAATTAAGAGAAGTTCGCTATTAAGATGTTTTACTAGAAATAAACATATCACGCTTTCCAAATATCATATCTTTCGCATTTTCATTTTTCATATTTAATTATAAGTGAGGTTATATGGCCAGTAATTATACTACTAATATCAATCAATAGACAGAAATTATTGTTAGTATTTTATTGGTGATATAAATGTGCAAAATACAATAAACAATATTTATTTTATGTGGAGGCATCTGAATTTATTGTCATGTGTATCATATACTATTATAGAAACACGTAATTATGTGAAAAAAATTTTTATGTTTTTTAGTTGGACGTATAATAAATAAATATTGAGATATAAATGAATTAACTAATTGTAAAGTAAGAACATATTGAACTATAAATAATTTTTTTTCTTTCACATCAATATTTTTTTGTACCATTTCATATGTTTCTTCTAATTCTATTATTGTATCTATTAATATCTTTTATATTTTATTCATTTTGCAAACTGGATCGAGTAGGACCAAGTAGGACCATTGACCATCTTTAAAAGTGAAAACAAATTATATGCAAAATTCATTAAATTAAATTTTATTAATATATTAATTTTACTTAAATAAGGGGAAAATACTTTATAAATTATGCTAACATTCCCAAATTACTAAATTAAACTATTAAAAATAACTAGGGGAAAAAAAAATTATCATTTATTTAAAAAATAGTTAAGAATTTGATTTACAATTAACTAGCTAAGTTCTAATTCTTTATTCCAATTATATTTGGATGTTTTAAAGAAGGAATAGTCTTTTGCAAGCTGTGCAAAAAATGTGTATGCCTGAGTTCTATAGGTGATGTTGATTCTAATAGGAGAGGTTCCATGATATTTCCTGATGGTCTCTTCTAATGAACCAGTATTTATCATATGTTAATAGAACACCATATTGTAGCTGATTTTCTGACATATAGTAATATATTTGTTAAAGTATATTCTTTGCCTTGGATTTTTTTCATAAAAATTCAGCAGAGTTGTCTAACAGGTTTTATGCCATTTAGGATGTGCTATTCTTTTTATTTCTATTATCAGGATGAGAGTTTTTCTTAAGTAATAGCATGTATATATAATCTGGCTTGCCATTACCATGAACTTTATCATGTATTGAGTGCTCATAATTGGGTGTAAGTTCATTTAATACCATAAAGATAATTGATTATTATCTATGACCTGATGAACAATTTTCTCATTTGTTACCTTAAAATTATTAATGAAATGTGATTTTTTAAATCTTAGTTATTTATTACCAAAATGTTATATATTTACGAAATTCTTTCATAATAGAATCTTTTTTTGGTAGTTTATTATCTACTTTTATTTGTAGTTCCATAAGAAAAGCAGGTAATATGAGGTGAGATATAAGTCAACACATTTTTTAGGATAAATTAAGTTCTGAAAAATAAAAGTTTATATACAGTATAATTGAATAAGTACTGATTACTGCCAGAAGTCTGTTAAATAATATGCAAGAAGTTAAAGAATATAATATTCAACTATTTTATAGTATTACCTCCTGCTTATTAAACTTATCAACCAATTTTATAATTGTAATTCTAAGCTTATATGATTGCTGCGTAATTTTCCTCATTTTGAGATGGAAGGACCAACTGCTTCTATGATTATTAAGTCTTGTTTTGTAATAATTTTAAAAAGCAAAATCAGGTGAAAAATAATAAGTGAATCAAGTAAAATTAGGATTATGATGGTCAGATGCAAAAGATGCCAATAGCCCAGCTTTTATTGTATATAAAGGAAGAAATTCAATTCCAGAATCAGTAGACTTTTATCAAAGAAGCTTATGTTAGCAAATATCCGGCAAGGGTCCATCTTGGAGTGCCTTTTCGTTTCATAAACACATTTTTGGGACCGCACGGCCGTGGACGATTCATTGAAGGTTCCATCAACATAATCCCGTAAAAATTTATGAGTCTAAAAAATAATAAAATAAAAATAATTAGTAAATGCAGATTGTTATTAATGTATCAGAACTTGCAGCTATATATTGGAGATAGAACATAACATGAATTGACAAGGGCTGGTAAATAGGCATCCAGAAAATATACACCTAAGGTGACCATTGCACATACCTTTCAGGAATAAAATGTAAATAAGGGAGCAAAATCTTCTATCAACTTATTACACTTATCTTTTTCTCTATAAGCTTCTTAATAATTTGATGACCTCCTCTGTAAAATTTTGTCATTTTCAATATTTTTCAGCAGTGTCTTATAAAAATATAATGTGAATGATCCCCTTATGATTTGTAATTTTATAGTACTCAGTAATCATTGCAGTAAAGTGTTGTATAACTAATGACCATACTTTTGGTGAAAAGAATTTCATAGTTGATAAGTGATTTGACTTTGAAAGT